AAAACAACACTGGCCAAAAGACTGAAAGCTCCAATTTTAACAGAAGTAGCAAATAAGAATGAGCCAGAGACACATAAACAACTGAGCAGCTGCACATTGCCTGAAGCCCTCCCATGGGGACCTTCTCATGCTGATGAGTGTCAGCTACAATGCAGAAGGCATAGGATTTTGTTTGTGCTATCTAGACAGAGCAGATAGAACCCCTACTCCGGAAGGGTTACAGCCTGAGCTAACACAAGAAGGGAGAGAAAACCATCATTTTCTCCGTTTCACAAATAGGGAAGATACAATTATAAATAGACTTGCTAAAGATCACCACAGAAGGCTGCAGTAGAAACAAAGACCACATCCAGGACTCTTGTTTATTCCACTGTCTGAACTCCAAGACTTGCCTCTCACTGCATACCTTAACTGTAGAAAACCACATTGGGAGGGACCCTATAGGACAGTAAATCCTCTCTCAATAGAGAATGAAAGCCAAGTTAAACACTGTGACAGATCTTCGTCTAATCTGTTCTAAAATACTTCCAGTGATAGATACTCATAATCTGAACAGGTAGTCTTGCACCTGAGCTCAGGGATGCAAAGTATGACACTAAACAGTTCTCCCTTTCCCAGCCTCACAAGATCATGTCTTCTAGACGTGTACCATTCTCACTGCTTTCACCTTAACTCTTTCTGCTTAGTCCAATATTTTAAAAATGCACACATGCAACTCCAGCCTATATCTTGTCAGAGCTAAGTTAAAAGATTGCTTCATAAAACTTAGATGTGACAGTAATCCTTCCCTGTCCATCTTCACCTGATAACATACATTATCTGTACGTTGTTCAGTGACCCTTCTGACCTTGGTCTGTTAGTGGTCTCTAGGCACAGGAGTTCTTCACAGCAATGCATTAATTTTTCTCTGATGATTTTAGGAAATATAACTTAGTGTCTGGCACTTCCTTCTGCTTCCCTCCACTCCATAAAGTTGTCCTCTAACAAGGGTATTACTCATAGATGAGCTGATACTTTGTCTACAGTGTTAATGACTGAAGCTGTGAATATAAATTTATTTCCATTGTGAATTTAAGAGCTTGGAACAAGCCACCAGTATGGCGAGGTCAAACATATTAGCAGGAACAAAATCCTGGGCAGGCTTCCTCTTTCTTCCCTCCTGCGAGTCATTTAGACTCATTTTCCAATTGATCGAGTGAAATGGAGTTGCCTCAGCCTAAGATAGGCATCTAAAATCAGTCTGCTGAATCATGGTCTTTAAGGGTCCTGAGTAACTCAAGCCTTCCTTTACTCATTTAGACTTCACTATTTCTCAACATCCTCTGCTACCCAGGGAAGGATGAAGACACAGCCTCACACTCCAGTCAGTGCAGGGGCTCTGTGTTAGCTCAAGACCTCTCAGCAGCCTTCAGAAACAAGTATTTCATCTACAGAGCAAACTGCAGAGAAATGGAAGCTGGTCATTTACACATTGCATCTCATTTTTGCAGTGTGCAAGGGTCTCAAAGTTTTTTCCCTCCTCTTGTAAATCTGCTGGAACAGTGATTAAGGCTACTGCTAAGGCCAGTGTTTGGTGCTCTCCTGGGGAAATTTACTCTCACTTTTAAGACGGCCTCTGTTGAGGGAACTCATTGATCTGACAAAGTTTCCCTCTCAAAGTTACTGCCCAGAACCAGGAGGTGGAGAATCTGTCATGCAAGTACAAGCACTTAGTTCATCTGCTTTCCTGTGGCTAGAGGAATTGTTTTATATTGGCTGTAAACTCCCAATCTGTATACTGCCCCTCTCACTTCAGGACATGATTTTTTATATTCATCTGTTCATCATCAATGACTTGAGGCACTTAAAAAAAAAAAATACAGTTAAAAGACCCATGGGAAAAATCAAGCTCACTTCAACAGCACATTCTGCTCAAGGCATTTCATAGTTAAACCCTCATCTCCAGTTATCTGTGCTGCCTACCCTGGTACTTAGTCCCAGCGTGCAGGCTGCATGGTCACTGTGTCTGTCTCTCCTTGTTATCTTCTTCATGCTCAGTTTGCCTGGCAGGCAATTGTCTTTTTATATCACAAGAATTACTTGTTAGCCTATAAACAGCTTGTTAGCTGGCTTCCACTTTCTGATCTCTGCAGGAACTGGTAGATTGCACGGGAAAAAAAACAACAACAAAAAACCACCACTTGTCATCAGACGATGTGCTCTTTCTTTCTGAGCAATACGGGAATGGCAGGCAATTACGGTAATAGCAAGGAAACTGCCTGCTACATCAGCAGAGCAGTAAAGTTACTGCTGCTCCTTGACAGTGTGGAGCTGAGCACTGCCACTGGGGAGGGATCCCTTGAGGGATGCTGGAGTCAAACCCCTCACAAGCATTAGGATACGGGGAATTAGTGCAACTGGGAGCTGTCAAAACATTGGGGAAGTAAAGGGAGGAAAGCAATGGATTTTCAGGCACAGAGTACCACCTCTGCATGAATAGAAGAGCCTACTGTGTTGTGCTGTGAACCTCCTTCCCAGATGCTCAGAGAAGCTGTGCCACCTTCTAGAGACTGAAGAGGTGAGTGTGGACTGGGGCACACACAAGGGTCTCAGATATGCTCTTCCCCAAACCATCTGTCACCACAGATTATTATCTGGTTGGTTTTGAGCATTAATATCTCTGACAGTACTTTCTGTTGTGCTTCTGTGACTTACTGGCAAGTTCTGCTTCATGAGCTTAAAAAACAAGTTTGATAATTTCTTAATTTTCTAGCCCACCATCAATCCTCTAATGACCACAGTTATAACGGTTAGAGATGCCTGATGCTACAGGCACTTTTCATTGATGTGCTTTGTCAAATCTGTCCTTTTCTTTATTGAAATTATTCTTCAACTTGTTTCCTCTTGCAGGAAAGAAAATAAGATTCCATTTTATTTCAGTGTATGGAAGGCAAATTCCCACAGTGCAATACCTTTTCATCTCCTCTCCCCCATTCTGTATTCTTGTGAACTGTGAATTTCAGGGGTCCAGAATTTTAAGTCCATTTGCCTGCAGGAAAATCCAGTTTTGAGATTCAGCCACATGACAGCTGCTGCTGCTGCTCAGTGTTTATGTAAAGTGCGGTCAGAGGGACTCATCTGAGAGACCTTACGGAGTCTTATCTCAGATTTAACAGGAGTAATCTTAGTGGTGGTTTTTCACATTTGATCAATATTCTGGATGGGAACACTACATTCACATCTAGGTGTTGTGAAAGGCTTTCAGCCCACACTTGTAGCTTTCCCCTTTGTGTTCCCCATGTCTCAGTTCCCAGACTTATCCTTACTTTTCCATCTGATGTACCTTTTCTCCATATTTAGTCAGCTGAGCCTGAGCTCGGCTTCCAGATACTCTGAAATGTTGTGTCACTCAGCAGGA